GAGATCAGTACCCGAGGTAGACCGAAGCGACATACTATGTTCTTCCAAAAGAAGTTCTGTATGTTTCGRGCTRTAACTGTTGCCAGAGGTTCAGCTTCTATCCACTTTGTGAAGTAATCTACCACCACCACTAGAAATTTCCTCCCACCTGTTGCTGGTGGGAATGGCCCCAGGAGGTCGATTCCCCATTGCGCAAAGGGCCATGGACTGGTGAGGTACTTGAAGTCGGCAGCAGGCTGATGGTGGATGTTGGCATGCTTTTGACACTTGTCGAATTTTCTGACGAGCTCGATGGCCTCTGCCTTCATTGTTAGCCAGTAGTATCCTTGTCGAAGTGCCTTTTGAGCGAGGGCTCTGCCTCACAAGTGTCCGCCACACAGACTTTCATGAGTGTCGCGGAACACGAGCTCGGCTTTGGAGATTTAAATTCTGATCAAACAATTCTTGCAGCTTTCTAACATCCCAAGTTTTTTTTTATGTGTCAATTAAATCTCCTATGCACCTGCCCCTTCCATTCTTGGGTCTTGGTCCCATAGGTTGGAATTGCTGAATCCCTTGGATCCAAGTCTCATCCCAGATGTCTATTTCTTTTCCTGTGGCTATGCTCCAGCATGCCCCACCTCTTAGCACATCTCTTCCGGCCAAGAGACTCCTAAAGCCCCACGAACAATTCTTAGGGGTTCTAATGCTCCAAAAATTTTTCCTTGAGAGGTATATCTCTCTTAGGATTTTTACCATATACCCTCTTTGTTAGAATAAAACCTCCAAGCTAGCTTTGCCAACAAAGCTAAATTAAACAGGTGGGGTCTCTAAATCCTAAACTGCCCATAGATTTACTTTTGCAAATATTTGTCTAACTTACCCAATTTACCTTTTTCTTCTCTCTTGTTTCCCCCCACATAAATTTCTTCTGAATCCTTGCAAATTTATCATAAACACTTATAGGGATCAGAACGCAAGAAATGACATATAAGGGAATTGATGAGAGGATAGCTTTAATCATAACCTCCTTCCGTACAGAAGATAAAAAAGATGATTTCCACCCTTTGGATTTGATCTCCATTCTTTCACGTAAGTAATTAAAAATATTCTTTTTTGATTTACCTAATGAAAAGGGAGACCCAAGCAGGTGGATGGACTGTTCACTTTTTTAATTCCCAACAATCTTATTATAATCTTCTGGAGTCTTGGGTGGAATTTAGGACTAAAAAATGCTTCAGAATTTGAGAGGTTTACCTTCTGACCAGAGGCATCACGCTATTTCTGCAAAATCTCCAGAACCACACCTCCTACAATATTTGCTCTTGAGAAAATATAGGAGTCATTTGCAAAAAATAAATGAGTAATGGCAGGGCAGTTCCGATTAATTCTTAAGCCAGAGATAGAACCTACATAGTGAACATGATGAAGAGCTAAGGATAATACCTGTGAGACAATTATGCACAAGGAGAGAGAGGATCCCCTTGTCTCAAACCCCAAGATGGATAGAATTTTTTGCTGGGGCTTCCATTTATAAGCAACTAATAAAAGACGGCTTATGCATTTCATAACCCACTTAATGAAAACCGCCCCAAAACCCATTTTCACCATCACATTTTCAATGAAACTCCATTCCACCCTAGTATATGCCTTGTTCGTTTCTAACTTAATAGTCATGAATTTTTTCCTTTTCCTAAAAGTCTTCATAAAGTGGATTAACTCATGAGAGATATTAGAACATTATCAAATGTCATTCTTCCAGGAACAAAGGCAGTTTGATTTGGACCGATGAATTTTGATAGGGTGGGTTGTAGCCTGTTCACTAGAATCTTTGTTATGGTTTTATATAAGGTGTTACACAGGCTAATGGGTCTAAACTAGCTAGCTGTTTTTGGATTTTTGCATTTTGGTAGAAGGGTTATGAAAATTCTATTGACCTCTTCATTCCGATCCAATCGAATATAAATTCCTGATAAATGGAACAGGCCTAATCCAATCCAATAAATACTTTGGACCATTAAGTTTAGACTGGTCGAATTCAATTTATCTTTTTGTCCATCCAATCCATTCAATTTAATTTTGATTTGAACAGGTCCAAGTCAAAATTGTGGTCCATTTAACACTCCTATATGAGAGGTATGTATAACAAAATCAGCATGTTTGAGAACCACGCAGCCTAACAACTGTTTCGGCTCTCGGTTCCCAATTCTGAATATCCAACCACCCAGCCTGGTCTACGTGTAATAATACTGAGTGTATCAAAAACTACATATTTACTTCTCTAAATATATATTGTTATATGGTAATTTCATGCAAAAAGACAAAGGCATAAAGGAGTAGGGGTGATTATTTCTATCTTACCGCAGCTCACAAATTTTCAAGCTTGGGCCTAGATTTTGTGCTCAGCCCAGGCCCACACCCCCATGAATTTATAGTCTGAACTTGGTCCACAATATTTTACATAAATTGCTTTTTGAAGTCATAGTGGAAGCCCACACCCAAAAACCTAGAGGAGGCATTTTACAACACTATGCAGATAAGGATTTTATTTTAGGACTTCTTTGTATGGTTTCAATTTTAAAACCATGTTTTAAATGGTAGAAAATACATCTAAATCATGCATCCCAGTTTCAAACAAAAATATCAATTGCATTTAAAAAAATATTAAAAATTTAAGACTATGTTTGATTTGAAAGAAAAGGGAGGGAAAGATATTAAGATAGAGAATCCTATACAAACCAAACACAACCTTAGGTTTGTATACAAAGTTCGAAGTATCTATCCACCTACATACGCCCGATACCCACGAACATGCAAAACGGGTGTTTCAGGTAATCATATAATTTCTTTTTTTTTCTTTTTTTGGTTTCATACTTGCATAGGGTTATAATACTATTATTTAACGTTTAAACAAATCAAAATAGGCATTTCGGTGACCTACTGGTACTTCGAACCTTGGTTCTATCTTCTACGTTCAGTCTCCCGTTTGTTCGATGTTCATTTTTCAATCTATGAAATTTAAAATTTTTTATTACATTTTTGTCCTTTGACCCAAATTGCTTTCACCGCCCCCCCAACACTCCAGAAATGCCCCACAAAATGAACAAAAGAAATAAGACAATCCTCGGTCTCCAGAAGTCATAATTTCATTAGGAAAAAAATCATAAAAAGGATGCTACAAAATTTGTTCTAGCAAGTTACAAATGTACACGGTTAAAATATCTATGAACTTTTTTAAGATGTACGGCCACATCCATGTATTTTAAGATGTCGCAACCAAATTTTCTTTAAGCACTGTCACGGATTACTCCAAGCTCACTGTACACAGATCTCTGCTACTACACTACAGTATTTGTGACAGATCATACAACTCACAGGCTTCCAAAGAAAACCACCAATTCGGTAACTGGGCCTAAATCAGTATAATGCTGCATAAAATTGCGCAACTTTGTACAAACATGTCACCGCCGGCACATCACATCTGTCATATTCCGTTCTCTTCTAATCACTTGAGAACTGGCTTTTGTCGTATCTTCTTGAATGGTATGTCCCCGTTAAGAATGGAGCCGATAAACTTCTCCACTTCTTCCATGGTCATTTCATTGGTGAACAATGCAAATTTTCCTTTCCGGGGCTTGTATGCCACCAGAAGTTTGTCCAAAGACTTGAATCCGGACTTGTCAAAGGAGTCGAGGAATGCTGACTGTTTGGTAGCATCCAACAGAGAGTAGGATACAGCATCGCCAGTGCTGGAGAATTGGTTCTGCCTCCTTGTTAGGGTTTTCTGAGAGACCTGGAAAAAACGTGGGCACATCAGAAAGAAAATAGCATGATATTATATTTTCCATGTTTTATGTATTCAAAATTCAGAAAAGCAATGGTTCATTCTGCCTCCTTGTTACCACTCAACCATACTTGATCCAACCCCCCAGATTACCAAGAAAAAAACGCATTTTCTAGGAATCTTCTTGAACCATACCAAAGGTGGCCCACCATGAACCTCATGATGTCTAAGCCAGTGATAAAGGTAGAGGGAGTGGATTTGATCTTCAATGGTTCATAGTGATTCTCTGGTTCTATAATTAACTCTATATGGAGACAATGCAATCCCTCTCAGGATGACTGGTGGAAATTTCCACATAGCTCACAGCTTCAGGATAGAAGCCAACTCTGGATCGAACAAAGGACCAAGATTTCAGTTTGACAAACAGATGAGATATCTGGACCTCTGGTGTAGAAGAAAGCCAAAAGCATAGCAGATACCTATAAACTCAGGGCAGCATGGCCTATAACATATAAGACTCACTTTGAAACTATTATGTGGAATAGGAGGATACCCTTGAGGCCTCATGGGCTTGTCTTGACACAGCATAGACAGATTCTGTCTGGAGATAGGATGTTGAACTTCGTGGAGGATAACTCCTAGCTTTCTGGGTAATTTAGAAGGAAAGAAGTAGAAGTTGTTTTCTACTATTTTTTTCCCAAGACAAAGTAAATCCTACAGGGAGAATCTGGAAACATTTTTTATTGTTTATTATAGATTAGGAATTCAACCCTTAATTTAGAGAAATGAGATACATAGACTGACAGAGGATGGCAGGGTATTGTTAGGCAACATTCATGAATTTTCTGGTTATAACTTTATTCCTTTTACACATTTTGGTACTTATATGGTAGATGCTTCATCCACATCAAGGTTCAAAATATCGATTAGTATCATATTGGGAGCTTCTCGATACACCCCTACAGAGGGTGTATCAGGGTTTTGACTGGTTCAGGGGGTGGATGAACCTTAAACCGGCCCCTCTGAACCATACTTGAAAAAAAATAACTAAAAAACTACTGATACGCCTCTACCAGCATATCAATATTTTGAACATTGATCCACATAATTTTGGCACTCGTACACATTTTCTGGTTATAATTTTATTCAATCATCCACCATATGTGTAGAAGGGACTATAAGAGCTAGGGGTAGACCAAAAAGGACAAGTAAAAGTAGTAATAAATGATTTAAGCACTAATAATTTAACAGTGGATACCCCATATTGTTGGAGATAAGGCATGTATGATGGTAGTGGTGGTGGATGCTTCATCTACTATTAATGAGATCCTAGAGAGAGAAAAGTTTGATATTTTCACTAAATCAGGGGAGAAACCCATCTGCCATAAAATTTTACTTACAGTAGAGAGGATGGTTTCAAGCTGGCCCCTTGCTTTGGATGATCTGAAAGCACCTATAATGCAGACAGGTGTTTTTTCTCCACAAGAAGTATCAGAATTTGAACTCATAAGCAGAGGTATCTGTTTCTCCTGCTGTTCAGTTTGTGGCTTTTTTCCCTGACCAGAGGTTGTCTTCTTGTTCTTTTTCTCAAATGCATCAAGTAGCACACTCAAATCACGAATTGTAGATTCTAAATCTTTGACATGAATTCCTTTTTTCAAGATGTGCTTCTCCCCATTTGAGAGCCAACCAACAATAGCAGGAAGTGCATCAACTCCTAACTTCTTCACCATTGGATCAGAAACATCATGCACCTACATAGAAACATAAAGCAAAATTTACTGCAATCTTTCCCTAGAAGGGAGCTTATTAATTTAAATTTTGATCCACTTGATCATAGCAGCTGAATTTKCTGAACTCACTAAGCCAAATTAATCATGCATTTAATGGAATACTTCCAAGTGTGAAACAATGAAGGTTAACCTCAGCCATTGTTGATGTGTTCACTCAGTCATGTAAAAGTGTCGACCAAGGTTCAAAAAATCGATACGTATCGGCCGATATGTATCATATCAGGAGCTTCCCAATATGCCCCTACAGAGGGTGTATCGGGGTTTTGACCAGTTCAGGGGGTGGACGGATCTTGGACCTTAAACCGGCCCCTCTGAACCGGATTTGAAAAAAAAAAAAAAAAACTAAAAAAACTAGAACTTGCTAAACCCACAAAAATCATATTCTTAACCCAATAGGTTTAATAAAAACAAAAAATAAAATAAAAAGATTAACCTCTTGAGTAAGCCAAATCACGAGAGAGAACTCAAATGCCTTCTTTCTTCTAACTATACACATTCAAGCAGATTATTTGTTCTGAATAGATGATATAGGTGTCAAGCTTACCTGTGAATCATAGAAGATAATGCGCTTGCGATGTAAACCACTGAGTACACGCCATATTACAGGAGTATCTCTCTTTGTAGAGAGCAGGAGTACCCGAGGAAGGTTTTCAACAGTTCTTGAGGAAACATCAAAATTATTTAAGTCAACCCGTCTTGAAAACCTTGGCAAGTGATCTAGACAGAAGGTTTTCAAACTTTTGATATCCCAATCACCTTTATACTCTAACAAGGAGCCTTTGTCATTTGTGGTATATGAATAAACAAAAGCCCGGGGTGCTGTGGTAACTGCTATACCAAGATCCTTACAGAGAGAGAGTTCAGTTTGACAATTTATGCTACCAACCTGATCAAAATAGAATAAAGAAAGAAAACAGAAAAGTAATTATCACAAAATCAAAAAAAAAAAAAAACTAATGAAATCACAATATCTTGAATATGGTTTTCATTGTTCAACAAAACACACAAGAAAAGATGATTACCTTCAAGGCTCCTTTTAGCGACATGGCAGATTCCTCTAAGATAGATTCATAATACTGCTGTTTATTCTCTGTAGGTCTGTAAAATAACAAAAGCCAGGTAATTCCCTGGTCTGTTATTTCTTTCTTAAACAGTTGTGAATTTATAATCTGGATGCTCTTAGGTGAACTCCTTGGCTCAGATTGTGATCCTGTTGAGCCACTAAAACCACTGAAATGGCTACCACCTGTCATACCACCCCTAAAGAAATTGGCGAAGAGATCATCAAAACCAAAACTAAATGAACTCTGACTTGCACTGGGCTTTCCAAAGGAAAATGAGAATGACTTGGATTGTCCTTGGCCACCCATACTTTGCCACTCATCTGGCCTAAAAGTAAAACGGTTATTTCCTTGCCCACCACTTGTGAAAAAGGTATATCCCCCATGATCCCCAGGATTACCAGTATCAAATCTGGGGCTGCCCTTCTCGTCCCCATAGAGATCATAATTCTTCCTCTTCTCTTCATCCGACAGAATTTCATATGCTGAAACGCATAAGATTTGCAACATATAAATAAAGCAATATGGAATGGAAATAATTACTTTAGTTATAGAAGAAAGCAACTTCCAAGAATAACAAAATATAACAATAATTTTCTTTTGATGAATCAGAAAATAACAATAATTTAATTATTATAACAGAAAGAAATAAAAGTAGAAGAAAAGGCTGCACATAGGAAAGTTAACTACATTACCATTATTAATCTCTGCAAATTTCTCATGTGCACCCTTATTTTTGTTCTTATCAGGGTGGTATTGGAGAGAAAGCCTGCAAAAAAAAGGAGTGAATATTGTAAAAACTAGAAAGTTTAGCTGAAAAGGAGACATTTTGATTATGCCAAGGTGCCAAGCAAAACAATAAGAATGAGGTTATTAAATAAAACGTACTTGTGGAAAGCTTTCTGAATTTCACGTTGGCTTGCATTTCGCTCAACCCCAAGAACCTGAGAAAAAAAATAAAATTGCAATATTAGTGATTCATAAAGAATCAAGATATCAGGAAATAAGAGAGCTTAGATTTTGAAAGGTATGATTCTTCTCGTTTTAGTTTCAATAAATCGCCACAGAAAGGGGCCATTTGATAACTGCTGAAGTGGCTGAACTGAATGATTATTGCTTTGTCGTGGATAAAATCATTAAATAACAAAATATTCCGAGGCATTGTGGTCAATCCAACTTCAGATTGAGCCACTAAGGAGCTCAGAACCTCCTTAATAACCAATAAGTCTTTCCATTCATCCATTCCAGCTGTCATCAAATGGCTCCCAAGAGAAAGGTATAAACTAGCATAATTTTATCAACAGGAACTTTTCTCTAGTAGGAGAAAAAAGGGATGGCTTAGCACTAGTTCAACAGCTTCCCCTCTAGGGAACTCCCTCTTCTAAGGAAAGCATAAACTACCAAGCACACCTCAAAGAAGAAATATTACTACAGAACGAAGATTACAACTTGCTCCTCCTTTTCTTTACTTCCCCCCCCCCGGGTGGGATGAGGAGCCTTAAACCAAATACCACCATACAATATAATTTTTCACACAGCCTCCAAATAAAATGAAGAAAAGGGCAAAGTGTAACGTGGAAGGAAATAAACAATTCACAGCTTGCAGGAGTTCTGTTAGAATCAAAAGTGGAATTCCCTTGAAAATCAGGTTCAAAGTTGGGAAGGGCATCTGCTACTCCATTGCTTTCACAATACATGTTGAATGGCTACAAATAGGAGTTCCTCCAGAAAATTCATGAGTGCAGGCCACCACTACAAATATGAACCAATAGGGCTTCAACATTGTTAGCAGTACTCAACAAAGAGTTTTGAATCCAACTCCACCATAACTTCATTACATAAATATTCCTTAAGATGTCACAGCCATCGTGGGATAATTCTAATTCATCAACAGGAATATGCCAAAGATTATTCTCTTCACAAAGATGTGCTTCACAATCAATATAACCTAACTATATTTCAGTGAAGAATTGCAGATCCAACGAAAAAGCAGTAGAACAACCTACAATTGTTGTCTGACTTTTATTTCCTTCTCTAAGCAACCCCAGAGATCATCTTATATTAATATTGCAATTCAGTTCACAGCAATATCTAAACCATACTTACCTGACTTATTGGTTCATTTGGTTTATGATTCATAATTTGCAACTTACGTATAAACCTGGTGCATTGGAAGTAGGCTTCAACAGTTTTTTGTTGTAACAAGTTTTCTCTTTCGCTTTTTTCTTGGGCTTGGCACATAATAGAAGCTTTCAAGTCTAAGCAAACCTAGAGGGTTCTACAACTAAGCTCTTGCTACTTTGATCATACTTGGAATCTTCTCTCTTAATAGATTATAAAACAACTCTATCTGCACTCTTCACTCTCTCTGAAGTAGAATAGATAAGCACTATTTGACTTTCAATACAAGTCTATCTTTCAAGAAAGAAGAAGGTAACTTAAAACATGTTTCAACTTTGACAAACCAACTTATGACGTGACTTGCAACAAACCAACAACCAATTCACAACTTTCTAGGTTTTCAAGCAATTTATGTAGGGGCATAAAACGGGTACCCAAGTTAAGATTTTACACTGCACTGTGCCTGGCCCTATTAAAAAACTTAGCAAAACCCCAACCTTGCCCTGCCCAAATTGCATCCCTAGAGCTAGACTTTAACATTGGTATAAAGTCTTGTTTTAGCAACACGTATCAATTTGTCCAATTTGTTTGGGTTTCAATGGGTGTGGATGAATGAGAGAACAATTTCATTTTCCCCTTGATTTATGAGATAGTTGGTAAATTAATAGCAAACTAGTTTCACTTTTATCAACATGAATGGCCTCTGTGCTGGATTGCATTTTGGAAATTCAATATTTCATCCAAAGTAGAAAGGCAAGAAATGAGATGTTCTCATTACAGCAACTGGACAATATTGAGGATTTTAGCACCACTAAACAATGAAAGAAAAAGAAAGCTAGATAGATATTCAATAAGGAGGTCTAAACAACCGGTGTAACAACCAATGGTGAAATTATGGGAGGTCTAAATGTGACAGGAATACAAAGGGGGCGATCTATGTATTTCATTGACTATAATTGGGCACAAACTGTACATATGTGATAATGTATCCGGTTTTAGTTCTTGCTATATTCTCAATTTGTGTTCCAACAATGGGAGAAAGGTAAAGAGAACATTTCTCCGTGCAATACTTCAACCAGATGTACCTACTACCAGGAAACTTAGGATGAGGAACTAAACTTCAACTAAAACATGTAAAAAACTCTGAGCTTATTGTGTATACTAATACAATCCCTAGCAACAGTTTCCCCAAATCTAGTCTAACTAGTTAGCCAAAGTTAATATTTAGCTCGTCTAAACCCCGTTCATTCCCCGGGGCTCAGACAAAACAACAAATTTCAGTTATGCACCAAAAGAAAATGAGCTAGAAAATAAATTCGGACAAAACGATAATTCTTTCCACATATGAGATGAATATGGATGCCTCTAAATAAAAACTGGAGATCTTACCTTGTACGGGTCGACGGTTTTCGCTCCTTGAGTGAACAACAGGAAGAAGAAAAACAATGCACAGACAAAAAACGGTAACAGAATAGGATGATTCATCATGAGATTTTGAATCAGAAAGAAGTTTTGATATTAATTTTGCTTTTTGGAGGATTCTCAATTCGGAGCGACGAGTATTATATGCCAAAGAAGAAAAACGATCCTATTAGGTCACGACTGAAATGACACGATTTGAATATCTGTAATCGCTAACAAGTCACAACTTATTAGGGTTTTTTTTCGGTGAAGGGTGATGAAACGAATCGGTGGCTAGTTACTACATGTCGGAGGGAAGGCGTAGAGAGAGAATTCGAGAAATAGGCTTCGCGGAGTCGAGATGCTTCGTCTGTTGGGTATACGTGGTAGAGGCTTGTACCTCCACGACAATTGACCAATCAGATTTCATGATACTTGATATTTTTCATCACATCAAATCCTTGATGTCCGGTTACTATCATCATCAACTCATATTATGGCGGATGATCTGGCAAGTCCGGATCTGGTGAGCACTATCGCTTATTTCGGATTTGTTTGCATGTTATAGCCGTGTATTAAGAATATCTTCCATGAATAGGTTGAAAATATTTCCGATGTGCGGCTGTAAGTGCTTGATCTCAGTGTTACTGTGTGTGGCACACTCTATGAGAGCAATATCCGGATTTTGGTTAATCGGTATAGTAAAGGGAAATTCTCAATTATTGCAGGGGTGAGTAAACGGTTTGTTCGGTTTAAAACCGAACTAGTGGAATTGGAAACCGAACCGAAACCGAAGTTTGGTTAAACTGAATAAATCGAACCGAATTTTTTTGGTTAATTTGGTTGTTTCGATTAAATCGAAGTAGGTGGGTCATTCACTGATTCCACCAAAAATGCAAAATATCATAACTTCAAAAAATTTGACTTGATTACTCATGAGAAGCGAAAAAAAAATAGAGAATAACAGCTCAATCATGCTCACCGTTGCAGTCTTGAAGATTCATAGATGCTTACCGTTGTAGTCTTGGAGAATAACAGCTCAATCATGTTCACCATTGTAGAATAATAAGAAAAAAAAATAATAGATTCTTAGGTGCTCATTGTTGTAGATGTTCACAGGGTGTGTACAGTTATAGAGACAGCAGAGATCACTCTCCGGTCTTCACTCTTCACTAAAGAAGTTAAACTTGAACTCGTCGTTGCCGCCTGCTATTGGATTAATTGATGTCGTCGCTCGCTGCTTGCCGGTGGTAGATGATAGAAGATGAAGCATGCCTGGGTGGGAAGACAAAGTCTCGAAGGGGAAGCAGGAAGGGGTTTTGCATTCTCGTCCTTGCCGCCCACTACTGGATAACTGATGTCACCGCTTGCCGCTTGCCGCTTGCCGCTAGTAGATGACAAAAGATGAAGCCCAGGCAAAAGGTCGTCGACACTTGGGTGGGAAAACAAAGTCTCGAAGGGGAATCAGGAAGGGGTTTTGTGTTCTCGTCACTGCTGACTGCTGCCTGCTGCTGGATTAACTTATATCACCGCTCGCCACTTGCCGGTGGTAGATGACAGAAGATGAAGGCTGAAGCCCAGCCAAAAGGTTGCCGACGCCTGGGTGGGAAGACAGTCTCGAAGGGGAAGAAGGAAGGGGTTTTGCTTTTTTTTCAAAATTGTTATTTCTATTAGAAATAAGATATGGGAATTTGGGAGTTAAGGTTAAGACTTAAGAGGGAAACTATTTTACCTACTTACCCATGTAAGTTCGGTTTTTTCGGTTAACTGAATTGCTAAATGCCATAACCGAAACCAAAAGGCGAACTTTAATAAACCGATGTTTAAAACCAAAACCGAACCAAATCCCCAAACTAACCGACCCAAAAACACAAAACCTAAAATTCCAGATTAATTATTCAGTTTTAACCAAAGTATGCTCACCCCTACTTCTACATTGGGCTAGTGCCATTTTGGTCCCTAACTTTAAAACGTTATAATTCAATATATTAACTTTTAAAATGTGTCAATCTAGTAACTATTGTTAGAAAGACATAAATGCCCTTTGGGTGTCATCTATTTTGTCAGTTATCCAAATGCCCTTCTTAAAACTAAAATATTGTTCATCACATTCTTTTTCAAGAAGATGAAACATTGGTATAAGTTTTTGGTACAATTTTACAAGGGAATGGTAATGATCCATTCTCCATTCCTACAAAAATCAAATGACTCCCCTCAAATCCGGATGTGACAACTGTTGAAACCCTAGTAGGTTTGGGGTTCATCATTGCTTTGGTTCAATCTTAATTATCAAGGAAGAAAATGAACAGTATTTTGAAGGGTAATCTTGACATTTTACATAATTTAAAATCAAACATGTCATCACGTAATACAGATAATTGATGGTTGGTTAATGGCATGTATTGGATTGGCACATTTTGAAAGTTCAAATACTGAATTGTTACATTTTAAAGCTCGATGACCAAAAATGGCACTAGGCCCAAAGTATAGAGTACTAATTGATACTTTTCCCTATAGTAAATGTCGATGCTTAATGCTTTTCTGATGGAAGAGGACTGATGTCTCGACGGTTTGATTGGAATGGTTTGGTTAGTACTTATTAATTGGCGAAACCTGATCCATTTATTGATATAGTATGTGTTTGGTTTCGTGGTCATTTATGGGTAGGGTGTTTATTTGCACTTTTTCACTTTAAATGTTTATTTATACTTTTTCGCTTTAAATGATTTTTACTTTAAACGTTTTCTATTTTTGTTTTGGGATTTTTGGACTACAATCCCCCTCAAAAATCTAATTTGCAGCCCCCCCCCCCTATAAACCACATCCTGCCCGTGAATCTGGCATCAATCCACAAGCAGGATTCAATCCACCCCTAATCTACTAGTAGCTCCACCTAGGGGTGGATTGAATGGTAAAAACCCCCCATTTTGTTTTTTGGTTGAATTTCACTTTAAACGTTTTTTACTTTCCACMTCAGATTAATACCCATTAAAGTGTGCCACATCAGCATTTAGTTTCAATAAATGTTGGGCATTTGGAGAAACAAGAATTTGGCATTTCCCCAAATGCCCCATGCACAAAAATCAAAATGTTTCAGTTTTCTACCATTTATTTGATAAATGGTGAAACCAAACAATTGTTTCATTTTGCTTCATCTGCAATAAATGCCAACGCCTATGTGGCACTGATGTGGCGGCATTTTTTCAATAAATGCCAACAGAACCAAACATCCCCATAGTATATCAGATAAACAGTTAAATAGGTGTTGTCGTTTATCACGGTGAATTACATTGTTTGGTTAGGGCATTGAACGAAAAAATGCTAATAAACATCCACACTTCAATTTTCACAAACAATGTTGTTTGGAAAGAGGTAAAGTTGGTAGGTGTTTGACATCGATGTTGTTGCTTCATATCCATTTTTTTTATGAGAAAATAGTATTGTATTAATGAAGGTAAGTTGCACCATTTTCTTAGAAAATGACTTCCTTTTTTTTGGCATCAATGGTACCACATAGGATTTTTCTAGAGAAACAACAATAGTTTTATTTGGTACCAATGTTTTATAACCGTTTTCAGCATTAGTCTATATTATGCAACACTTSAGATGATGATGCATTGATACCACGTCATTGTACCATCGGTAGCAACGATTTTGAAACCAACAGAACACCAAATTTGATGGAGTCTCCAATCATGCCTCTTGATTTCCAAGGCGTGATGTAGGGCAACGTTTTTTTCTATAAAAAACAAAACCAAAGATCTCATCATTTTTTTGGGGCAACATTTTTCGGATGTGGCGCCTATGTGGCACCACTTTTTGGGGCAACGAACACCGCCTTGGAGTTTAGAGTCTGGATTTAGTGGACCCTTGGGTTCACAGGAAGCATGCACCCTCCAATAGGAGGCGTGCACGTCACCCACTTCAAACTCATTTTAACGTTAACGGGCTTTTGGGCATTAGTCAATTGAATCTAGTTGAACCAGACAGAAAAAAAAAGGACAAAAAGGCAAAAAACAAAAAAACAATTCATTTGAATTATTTGGGATTTGGGAGTTCATTCAAACTCCCTCCCATTTTTTCCTACAAGGCCATTCACTGTATAGCCGGCACCCGTGAGTGTGAAGTACACCAGCGGTCGTCAGTCATCAGAACGAAGGTCCACCAGGGAAACAGGTACTCTTGCTAATTAGATCCAGTCTCAGAGTTTTGTACTGCATTGGCTGGCTTACCATCATGATCTTGTGCAACAAAAACAACCTCAAGCAAAGTTTCATTTATTTGGGGTTGCCTTCATGAATGCAATAGCTGGGTAAACTCTATGAAAGATCATGATTCATGTTTGTTACACTGTGAGTTATCATCTTTGCCATGGCTTTGTTGTGTGCTGGTGACAACAGCCACTTGTTCCTTCATGGTTTGATTCTCTTCTTCAATGTCTACAATCCAGTACTTACCGGCCAGCGTGGATCACATAAATGAAATTATCTTTTCTATTGGTACTTTTGTGTCATCACTTCTTGGGTTGCTAGTAGTATAGAGGGCCATAGTGAAATATGGTAGGGCCTCCATTGTATTATCAGTCCGTACAATTATGGCTATAAGTACTGCTCTGGTTACCACCTTTGGAGCCTTTGGATTCCACGAGTATAAATCCATTGTTTGATTTTGTTGGGGATTTGAACAAAGCTGCCTCCCCGCCCTACTCCCTCTCTTCTCTGTCTCTAGATTTTTATGCCCCTGTTCCTATTTTCTCAATAAGTAATAAATATGTTAGCTCTATGAGGTTTCTTTGTATTTACACTACCATAATGAATTTGTGTGTAAGTTAAATGCCTACGATGCAACTTGTAACGCACTAATGCTTCAAAAAAAAAATAATAATAATAATAATACCCCTTATTATAAGATTTGGCTAATCATAAAACATATAAACTCTATACATATCGGGTATATCAGACTGATCAGTCGTGGCCCAATGCCGATATAATTGGCCTCCTACGAAGATTCAAAATCATTTGTGAGGTTGTTACCCATGTTCAAGAAAAATGCCAATTGATAAAATACAACTGGAAACTTCATCCTGCACTTGTAGACATGAACTAGTCAAATAGTATTCATTAAAATGAGAGCATTCAATTGATAACTAGTAATGAGTTTTGTCGGAAAATGAGAGCATATCCTGCATGACAGTCCACAAATGAAGAGGCAATGATCTAACATGACCAATGGCCAAGTGAAAATCGGGACCAATACAAGTATTCATTCATCCTGTCATATGCTGCACAACATTGTTTGTAGGACCTGTGCAAAAACGGTGCTACCAAGTTTTGAATGTTGAGTTAACTGTTAACATTCAACTTGGGCTCAAATTTTACAGGTGGCCTATCTAGAAGATCTGCCTGCCTCTTGGCGTTCAGACAACACCACGCATGGGACAATAAAATTAACCCAAGGAACATAATGATTCTTAAATGAGCAACAATAGCATATGCAAATTAAATATCTAATGAATAACATTGACGTGCCAAACATACATAGACGAGAATCCAAAATAAATTACTTGGATCCGATTTTACAAATGAGCAACAATACCGGGTTAACAAAATTACAAAATTCCGAATGTTTTAAACCCATCTAATCCGGTTATTTCTGATTTCCAACTAAAATGAAGCCAACAAGGAAAAAAGATCAAAGACACTGAACATTTTTCTAGGCACATTAAGGCTAATCTATCACCAAGATCTTCCGGCTTAAGCAACCGGGGGCAGAGAACATGATCTTGTGAGGCACCAATTGCAGCAAGTGGCATGAATTGCCACATGGCAACCCTAGGGCACCCAATGAATGGCATCAGCTTGTTTCCAGTAGCTTGGCCTTGTTTCCAGTACCCAGTATCTTGAATAGGCCAACAAACAAAACTCTGCAACTGGAAAAGAAATGGTGTTAAACTTTCATAGAAAATGTGGAGCAACATCTAATGGAACTTCCTCCAAAAACTAAACTTCAGTAATGAAAATAGGTGAGGAAACAGAAAATATAGCTCAGACTAACCTTCAACTCTTTGCAGGAATGTGGTAAAGCATACCTACCAAAATTAAGCATGGCCAAAGCAATATTGATCTTCATGACAGGAAACTAGTACGTCTTGGGAAACCAGCAATTTCTAGTAAGGAGCTAGCTTGAATTTCATAATCAAGACTCAAGAGACCTGTAGCTTATATCAGTCACTACAGTTTTAGAAAATTATTTAAAAAAAGATCAAGCAACATGACACTAATGTTCATGATGTACCATTTTGGATAGAAGCTCCTCATGGACGTCGGTTGGTGTTGGTCGCCGATGATCTGGTAATAGGGTAGGGTTCGAATGATACGGTGGAGAGAGTACATGTTCCCCTGGTGGACCTTCGTTCTGATGGCTGATGACCGCCGGCGTCAGAATAATGAGATGAGAAGAAGAAGAAGGAGGAGACAGGCATACTTATCGCCAATTGATTTCTTGCCGCCGGTGTATTTCACAGTCACGAACGTCAGCTGTAATTTTTTTTGTCCGATCCAACCGGATTCAATTGATCAACGCCCAAGAGCCTGTTAACGTTAAGATTAATTTGAAGTGGGTAACGCGCACGCCTCCCAAGGGTCCACTGAATCTGGACTCTGGAGTTTCCTCCAACGCCCCACATTCCCGCGCAATAGCTTATCGGCGTGGATCCGATGTGGAACTCACATGGCCGATGACATGTTTGAAAGTTGAACTTGTCTGGTAGATCACGCTGCTCATTATCTCCTGTTGCTACTTGTCACTGCTAGTTCTCCTCGGTAAATACTCCTCGTGCGGTGAGTACGTTTGATTAAAACCCCGTCGAATATATTTCAGACACCCAGATTTGAGTTTGAAGTTTTTTTTTTCCTTTTGTTCGGTGTTCCTTCCTTGAGCCGTCCTCCCCTTGCTACTCGTCACTATCACTACTCCTCGCTGGATTCATGTCGTCGGCGAGCATTTTCGGTTAAAACCTCTCAGGATCTTCTCGTTTTCTCATATACCTCTGCACTTCTGGCTAAAATGGTAATATCAATTTTTCCAGACTTCCTTCTCCGATGACGGTAACCATTACGCATCTCCTTGTAGTAATAAATCCTTTGCCGGCAAGTAATTCACTAGAACTCGAAGTCCCTTTTTTTCATTAAATAGATATACATGTAACTGTGATCGGTTCATTCTTAGGTGTTCTATCAATGCCATACCTCCTTCTCTGACGACAATAACCATCATGCATCTCCTTCTCGTTATCCCCTCACTTGCTAAAAAATTGTTATTAATGAGAAAAGAAAGATCTGAACCGTCGGATGTTTTTGACAACGTATCTGAGTCAATGGATTTAAAATTGGATTTGAAATCATGAAAAATGAAAGGTCACGCTTCTTGTACTGTGAGATTGGTGGCTATGCACRCATGTCACCCATTGTAAAAGATGTGCAACATATGCAAAAAACCGGTTAAACAACAATTCCAAACAGTTTATGGGTGTTTTTTTAGTTTAGGCGTTTATCCTTGAAAAACGAGACGATAAATGCCCATATTATCAAAGGCCCAATGCAGATTTTTGAATTCCATTGCAGATCTATAAACATTCAAAATGTCAAAAAGCCCCATTCTTCTATACATGAATCGGCATCAATTCCGAGTTGGCACCTATCCCCATTGTATATTAGGCCTAAAAATTCTAACCTTGGGCTGAACAGTCATTCTTCCTTTTTTGACAAATAGCTATATATATATACTACTTTAAAAAGCACGAATGGCATCAAGAATATTTCTATACTTTTTTTAGGACAAATTTTATCCCTCTATATTTAAATCTATTAATCAAAATGATGGACAAATAGGATAATAGGTTATTGATATTAAATGAGTTGAAAAGAGGTAATTTTAAAATATTCAATGCATTTAATTCTCTCACATTAAATCCAATATTTAGGTTGTGTTTGGTTTGAAGGAAAAAGTAGGGAAATGAARGGAAAGGCATGAAAATCAATACAAGGTTTGTAAAGGTTTCCCTACATTTTCCTTCCTTTTCCTACCTTTTCCTTAAAACCAAACATAAACTTAACTTATACTTTTAAAATCTACCTAGAAAAAAATAGTATTTTCATCTAGGAAATGGTAAAAAATTAAACCATTTGGGTCAAATGAGTCAATTTGTGTTGCCACAATTAAATAATAAATTCAAAAATATATAAAATATATAATTAAAAAAATTGAGAATGTTTTTAACATCATATATTTGACATATTAAACAATAATAAGTATGATAAGTAGTGTTTTAAAAACTCACCCAGAGGCCGACCCATTTTTGCCTTCAGGTCATAGGTCACCGATTCGACTATCAATGTCAAATGAGTCAAACCGCTCTGTGTTAACACTATATGTGTGTGTGTGTGTAAAAATACATATTTTATCAATAAATAGTATAATTGTGTTTTACATATATTAATTAACTAATTACATATAATATATGTATTATGTTACATTGTTTATGTTTTTAAATTTTTTTATTTATAAAAAATATTAAAATTGCAATTTGGGGCCAAAAAGGGGTTTTCACAAAAACAGCAAGGCAAAGCACCTAAGGCCCTTGGGACGTATAAATCTTGAAAAGTTATTCAAAATTAAAAAAAAAAAGATAACCCCAATCAGACATCAAAGTGCAAAGTTATGGCTTCCAAAAGTTTGCACATAATTAAATACACAACCTACGACCTGCTTACAAGGTTGAATGGGTCAATGGTTGAACTGTCCAGGTTAGACARCTTTTAAATGAAATGGGGAGTTTCAACAAAATCAAGGCCGAGTGAAGGTTTGAATGGTTCAATCAGCCAAGTCAATAATAGGTTAAAAATATTGATGATAAATAAGAAATGTTTTTATTAACGATGGAAATGGAATGTAAAATTTAAAACCAATTGGAATTTGGAAGTAAAATTATTTTCCTATTATCTCTCATTAAATCTCATATCTAAGGTATATTCTCTTATTAAATCCTATATTTAAGATATATTTTTTTCATCATGAAATTCTACTAATTAAATCCATAATATTAATTTCAATAATATAAAAATAAATATTTTGAAAACAAAACCATTTTCTTCCCTCTCCGTGGTGGGTAAACAATTCAACCATTTGGGGACAAATGCGTTAATGAATAGTGTCATGATTAAATATTAAAGAATTAAAATAAATAAAATATATAACACAAAAAAATAAAAAGAATCGAGCACGTCACTAATATTGTATATTCATTATACTAAACAAAAATTAAGTATGAAATGTAGGAAGTATTTTTCATAAATGATGAAAATGGAATTCCAAAATTCAAATCTACCTAGAAATTATAATGCTTTTTTTTTAAATAGAAAATACAAAGAATCACAAAAATAAATATTATACATAAGATATAATATAATCAAAAGAATATATACAAAATATATATTAATTATTTCTAACAAAAATTAAGTGTGATTAGTAAAAATTATTTATATAATGTTGATGAAATATATAATAATTTAAAATTAAATTGATCTAAAAGCAAAGCTATTTTGTTATTTAAATGGTGGGTTAATGATCCAACTTTTCAAATAAATCCATGATGCCATAATTGAATAATAAATATTTGAAAAAAAAGATAGAACGCAAAAAAAAAGTACAGAATTTTGTCAAAAACATTTCGGAACATTTCTAATGTTATATAGTCATCATATTAATAAATATAATAGTTAAAATAAAAATTATGTTTATTTAAGACATAAATGAAAAACAAAATTTAGTAGTAGTAGTAGTAGTGGTGGTGGTGGTGGTAATAGTTGTAATAATAATTGTTATTGTAATTTAAAATTTCTACAGGTGCACATTTAGTACAAGTATTTAAGTTTATTTTTAATCATATTGTTACTTTTATTAATTTTCAAGTCTATCTTAATTACGATATATCTAAAATTYAAGTAGTTAATATGAAAAAAAAAACATACATACAACGCATATGCTTAATTACTAGTGCGTGTGTGCGTGTATGTGTATATATATATATCATAAAACTTTGTCAAGTTGAAATTTTGATTACACTTTCAAGATAACAACAAAATCCATTGTTTAAAAATTAGACCGGGTCATCCAATTCAATCGATTGAACCTTGATTAGGTTTCTAGGTGGTTCAATTATTACCCTAAAAACCATTATTGATGAAAAAAAAACTAACCAATCAGCTTAACTAAAAGATTGGTGAATTTGTCAGTTTTATGAAACTACTTGAGCCACAACAAAGTTCAAAATGGTATTGACAAAAACTTAAATCAATGACCTTTTTTAATGTGTATCATCATCATCATCATCATCTTCTTCTTCTTCTTCTTCTTCTTCTTCTTCTTCTTCTTCTTCTTATTATTATTATTATTATTATTATTATTATTATTATTATTATTGATCCATCTCTTTATTTGTGCCTCTTTAATTATGCATTTCTTTAATGCACATGTATTTTAAATAAAATATGAATTAAAGGACTTTTAACCTTGGTCATTGTTTTAAAAAACTTAAAAACCAACTATTTATCAATCACATGCAAGTGTATTGTATTTGTAAATTATATAATATGCAATATTTTTATGTCCTAAAATATACATATGCCACATAATCATTGGTTAACTACGATTGAACCTTTGATCCATGAACCTCTCCATTTTCTAGTTCTATGTCCAATTCGGTTCTTTGAACATTAATAGAAACAATGAATGGGATAAAATTTGATTTTTATGACCAAAATACCCATTCTTAAAATCCTAATCATAATACCATATACACTTGTCACAGTATTGAATGGCAAGGCACTATATAATGCTCAATTAGACGAACAAGCTCACGTTACTAAGCAACAAAACAATTGAGCAACTAGAATGCACATAAATTATACAAATGATTCATTGTATTGCAATTGATATGACAAGCACAAACACACAAGTTTGTGTAAAGGGACCTCGTTCTTAATGGCACTTARCTACCGACCTCCCCTCAAAAAGAATGTTAAGCTTTTGGGGAAGTGACAAAAGATTACATTAGAATATTAAAAAATCATACTAATATTTACAAGAACGTCATTGGCAATACCATCCGTACAAAAATAGTATAATAGCCCACCCAAGATAAATACATTGATACACTTGTGGCACTCCATCAAGCTTCACTTGTGACAGTCTCCCTTTCACGATTCAATCTACACCCTTGAATATCACTGTCTCATGTACTCTTTAACTTTGTTTACAAAAGGTAGGTCTATAGCAAGCTACCAACATTCTATTTTCACCAGGTCCGATTTACTTCTCCAGGTACTCTCATTGGGGAATTTAGGTAAAGGGAGATTTCAATGGCCATAGATGGAATCTACTTTACAGGTTATGGGTGGTTGAAAACAAGGTGGACTTTTAGCCATGGGGGTAGCTTAAGGTAGTATGTGGTTTGTCCTATTTGGGAAATGATCTCATAATGACCTTTATGCTTCCTTACAAGACTAGGGTGCCCTCTCTTTAAAAAGTTGAAGGTTGTTTAGGTGGAGTTTGACTATCACTAAGCTACCTACTTGGGAATGGTTTGGTCTTTTACCTTGGTATACTCATTTTTCTTTTATTCTCTTTTTTTGGTAGATTTCTCTAAGGATGCTCAGGTAAGATCAAGGTTTTCCTTAAAGTCCATGGTGAAGGTATAGGTTTATGGGCTTCTTCTTAGGTACTCGACCGCTACAATGTGTGGACATTGAGGTAGTTGGTTCGCGATGAATTTAAATGAACGTTGATTCGTCGTCAAGCTCTTTTATGCATTGTAGGAGAATTATGTAATATCATTAACATGTACCTAATCATTTTGTATAGTTGAGATGAAGTGTCGGAGATACATTTATAGGGGGAACTCATTCTCTGGTTTATCTATCTAACTATGGGTGACTACTACTCTTTAAGTGTAAGCCCATGAGCTTGAAGAGTTCAATCCCTAAGGTGTTGGTGAAATGGGGGTCACGAATACTAACAATGTTATCTAAAACACCCTAGTACTTGATAACCTTCATGAATAACAAAAATGTCATTCTATTATACATGACTTTGAAGATGGAATGAAAGTCGCATACTTAAGGTTGCGCTTGGTTGTGATGCAAACACAAATATGTACTCTGCATAATTACCTTCTTTTCGGTTCATAATGCAAACGCTACTCACATTTTTGAACCATTTTTGTACTCATCTTGTTTGTTTGAAATCGGTGCAAATCCTGGGCCCCATCATTAAATGCTCAAACTACCTATACTTCAATTC